CATTTTTTATTTTAATTAAGTTTAAAAAAATTTTATTTAATGTAAAATTATATTTTGTTTTAATTTACTTTCAAATTCTTCAGTTGCTGAAGGGGCTGCATAGTTTTCATATTGCATAGTTCAGAATAGCTGTAATTGTACCAGATGGTTGCATTCAGTTAAGTTGGACTAGACCAGTGGTTCTTAACCTGGGTTCGATCGAACCCTAGGGGTTCGGTGAGTCAGTCTCAGGGGTTCGACATGCACGGCTCATTTTGTGCACCAGAAAAAAACATATGAATGTCTTGAATTTGAAAAAAAATCATATTTTATTTTTCACTAAAGAGGGGGTCAGTGACTCCACATATGAAACTGGTGGGGTTCGGTACCTCCAACAAGGTTAAGAACCCCTGGACTAGACTGTAATACAAACCGTTCAGTTTGTCAACAATAAAACTGAAATGAGAGAAAGACTGAGTGCGAGACTTTGATATTAGATAAATAAATATTGATAAAGTTTACCTTTATGTACAGAATCTGAATATCGCAAAGTATTTTAAAAAATTGCAATAATATCGTATCGTGAGTTAAGTATTGTGATAATATCGTATCGTGGGATGTTTGGTGATTCCCACCTCTACCGGTTATGATACAGCGTTGGTCTAAGCTGCTCGGTAATACTTGTTAGAAGTCTGTTCACATCTGGGAGGGGCTGTGCAAAGACAAATGGAGCAGATGTTCAGCATGTGCACCACCGCAGGCTTCCTGTCCTCGACTCGTACTCCAACGTGGACAATCGGTGGGTAGGCCTGCTGTAGCTTACACATAAATATGTATCAGGGATTTTTGTACGATACTGTGTTTTCAAAGTGTAACAAAATGTAGAAACACAACACGAGTAATGATAATGACATCTGGTTGTAAATATCAGCACGTATTTTGGCCTCTCCCTTTCCTCTGGTGCTCGACAACGCCCAGCCTCATGTGGCGAGAGTATGAAGGTTTTGGGTTCGCCGACTTGCACCCACGCTCGCCTGTCATGTGAGCTGTTGCAATGAAATGTCAGCAACATGAACTGACCTGATTATTGTGCTGTCTTTGAATTCAGCCCTCTGTAGTTTGATAGATCCATCCTTGCCTTCCTTACACATTACCCAGTCCATATCAGTACGGCTATACAGCAGGATATTTCTGCAGGAAATCTACGTCCACACTGTAACTGCAGACTTATTTCAACCCTACAGCATAACACGTGCACCTCCAGAGCAGTGCAACCACTACACTAGCTAAATGCATACCACAACAACTTGAATGGTGTGAAAGGTTGCAGCGTAGGGATAAAAGGAGTTTGCAGTTATGAGAAGTGTTCCTACGAGTCTTATTTTAAATGCACTATTAAATATCTGCCGCAGGTTCTACATACGATCATATTAGAAACAAAGTAACTCAAGAGCAAATATAGCAACGCCACATCGATTGGTGTGCAAACCAACGGCCAGCTCATTGGTGTGTCCGCTGAAACGCACCAAAGAAAAGATGGAGCAAACAGACTCAGTCTCAACTTACTTGGCCCTCATTGGAGGGCGGCTTAAGTATCCAAGTAGCACAAAAGAAACATCCACAAATATTTCCAAAAATGAAGTGATTTTCTTTATTTTAAATATTGTCTGATGAGACTGCAAACGTGAATGCAGATTCTCTCAATCTTAACTGAAGCCCTTCATTGAACGAACACAAACACATCAGTCTGTGCAGACACGTGGCAGCACTGCTGCTATCACTGTGTTTGTGTCACTGAACTAACACAGCCTCAGCATGTTTGTGCTCAGGCCTCGGCCTGGTCCGGGCTCCGAGCCGTGCTAAAGGGACCTCTGGCTAACACGCCGGGTTCCTGTCGGGCTCGTAGCCGAAAACTAGCTTTACTGTCTGGGTCAACTTTGCTAGCGACGGACAGAGAGCGGCGCTGAAAGGACTGTTCTGCTTCAGAGGCAGCAAGCACAGTGTTCAGTCTCATGCTTGGGTCATCAGCTCAGCATTGATGACATATGCTCACTGACGAGTACAAGTTCATTTTGAGTGGATGC